TGTGGTTATTGAGTTGTTCTCGCGTTTTCGTAAATCACAGGGGTTCTCGTTTGAACCTCCACCTATATATATATATATATATATATATATATATATATATATATATTAATTAATGTTGTTGTTGTTGTTGGTTAACAATTAAAGAGGGGATTGCATGCTTGACCCTTCATCAACGAAATTAAGGTTGTAGTTAATATATAAGCCAGACAGTATAGCGACTTGTCACTTGTGATGTGATTTTCATCTCATCTAATACAATACATAACATAACATAGCTATATTTATGTATATGATTTTCTTCTCATATATAATATTACATAATTAACTCACTGCTACCGCTAGCTACTGATCATCCATGATAAATCATCTACACCCATATATATATATATATATATATATATATGCATTTTTTGGCTTTATTTTAGTCATCGACTCTTGAAGCAAGTGGACGTTTTTATTACACCCCCCTACCCTTTTGGTACCTACTTTCTAGTTCTATTTTAATTTTGTAAAAGAAATTTGTTATTTCATTTACTTCAATTCGTTAATTTGTATTAATAAGATTACTAATTATTGTTATTATTAGTAGTAGTAGTAATATGGGGTTGTGATATATAAGAATTGTTGGACATCGATATCATAATAATTAATTAGGTAGCATGCATTTTATGTTGAAAAGTACTTAATTAAAGGACCTAGTTATATATATAGGTGAAGATTGCTGTTTTTCCAAGTTATGATTATGAAATAAGGCCAGTATCATGTGAAAGATAGTTAAAGTGAAGAATGTAAGAAATAATATAAATATTTGATCATTTTTAATCTCAATTCCACTCATAAATAGAATTTGATATGAGAATTGATCTGATGCATGCATATCGGTCTATCTCATCATAATGTGCATCTAAGAATCCATATCCCTTATTATGCTTATTGTCAATGAAATCCAACCCTCGTTCTTAAATAAATAATAAAAACATAATGTTCTTAATTCTGGGTTTTTGAATCCAATTGCTTCCTATCCTAATTTAGTTACGGTCTGGTGACGACAATATTAAAATTTGTAAAAAGAAATATCATTATCAACAATTAACGCGTATGCATGGCTTCATTTTAAAGGGATAAGATGGTTCCGTATCCGTAACGTAACGCCAAGCAACATCCCCTACGTCCATCAACTTTTGTGATTTGGTTTCTTTTGATCATTAATTTATTTTCATATAAAAATGGATATCATATATATATATTGAGTGTTAAAATGAATGAAAATCCACCTCAATATGATCATCTATATATATATATATATAGTTGGTTGGGGAATTCATGGTGAAGAACTATTAAGCACCAATTATTTAGTATATATAATGATGAACATGCATGGTTCATATATTTGGGTTTCATTCTTTAATTCTTATCACAATCACGTATAAGTATACATATAGTTGCTATACATATACATTATTATTCTTCATTACAACTTCATACAAACCATATTAATTAATATATACCTTATACTAGGTCATCCCTTATCAATTGTTGTATATGTGTGTATATATATATAGATGATGATGATGGTGGTGATGATGATGATGATGGTGGTGATGATGATGATGATGGTGGTGATGAATTACAGCTGGCTTGATCGATCACTATATAGGCAACAACTTGACCTTAAGACCATATTTCATCTGTAGTATAATGGAATCACTTGGACAAACTTGATGCCCTTCCACCAATTCCACATGGTAATGATAAATCAAAGCAGCTGCCACCATTTTCATCTGAATCAAACCCATTTCCTTACCCAAACAACGCCTTGGCCCTGCATGAAACGCCGTGAACTTATAAGACGCTTCATGCTTAATCATATTATTCCCTCTTATTCCTTCAGGACTAGTACTAAACCATCTTTCTGGCCTAAACTCCATGCACTCATCCCCCCATATCCCTTCCATCCTTCCCATTGAATAGAACGACAGAATGATCTTGGTTCGCTCATCTACCTCCTCCCCACTTGGGAGGATGTCCTTCTCCAATGGCGCTTTATGTTCAAAACCAACTGGAGGATACAGCCTTAATGCCTCACATAAACCTCCATGAAGATAAACCAATCCTTCCAACTCTTTTGCACCCAAACTAGTCTTCCATTTCCGACCACCCAATTGCTTCTCAATCTCTTCTCGAATCTTATCCTCCACTCTAGGGTTTTTGGCAACAAGATACATAAACCAAGAAAGACCTGTACTTGTGGTGTCTCTCCCAGCCAGCATCAGGTTCAAAATGGTGTCTTTCAGGAACTTTCTTGAGTCACCTGAACTCCCACCTTGACCTTGGAAACCTCTCATCAAAGATGTTAACAACCCACCTCTCCCCACCTGCTGCAGCCTTTCTTTCTCAGACAAACACTTGTAAATAAATTCATCAAAAGCCTTGGAAGCTTCCTTCATCTTCTTCTCCTTGCCTCTTCCAAACCTATGTTGCAACTTCCAAAAGTACTCTGGCCACACATGTCTCCACAGAAGAGCTTCTTCCGCTTCCGTGAACGCCTTCTCGCATGGAATGAAGGGTAAATGGGGGGACAGACTTTCAGGATCATAATCTAAAAGCAGTAAACAGATAGAGTCAAAAGTAAACCTCTGAAATATTTCCTGCAAATCCATCGGTTGACGATCATGAGAGACGAAATGATGGAGGAGAGGGAGAAGCGCTTTATCGACTTTGTTCCTGATGGTTACTTCCAGGAGAGTGTAGAAGTCGGGGTGTTTGAATATAGACATGGTGGTTTTCCGGTGGATTTCCCATAACTCGTCATCGGAGTTGAAGATGCCATCTCCAAGAATATCAAAGATCTTGCGAAAGTCGGGACCTTTGGGATAGTTGGGGAAGTTCTTGCTCAAGATGTGGTGAATGTTGGCAGGATCGGAGGTGAGAAGCAGGTCCATATTAGCAAAGCAAGGACCTTTGAACAAGAAAGTTCCATGGCTGAATTTGAGGATATCAGTGGCAAAATCATGGAGACGGTGGGAGTTTAGGAGGAGATAAGGCGTCATGCCAAAAAAGGGCCAATTGATAAGAGGAGACGGTGGGCATTTGTTTCTCCTGTAAAGAAACATAACAATGGAAATTAACAAGACAAGAAACAGCACAAATATATCGGAGGAGCAAACCCAATGGAGGGAACCCATAGGGAGGAACTCGATAGCTGGATGAACAAGATAAGATCAATCTGTGTGATTGGTTTTTTTGTCTGAAAGTTTGCTTTTATAAAGGAAGCTAGGGGATAGGATATCACATGTGATGTGATTAATGGCGTTTTTGTTTTCTTCTCCTTTGAAAGTTCACCCATCTATCAATCTATCTATATATATATATATATATATATATATATATATATATATATATATATACTAAAAACAAGTTATATTAAATCATTTGGTGCATTTTAACACTAAGGTTGAGGGGTTTAATCAATCATTATAATTAATATTTACGTCGATGAATCATTATATCAATGGTGAATGTGAATTTTTATGGTTTAATTTTATAGAGATAAAGTAATATTTAAATTGTTTTAATTTAGATAGGATAAAGTATAGAATCATCAATTTTCCATAGATACATAATTAATTGGTGTATGTATATTGAAAGCGATGTTGACGTAAAATCGTATCAAAACATTCGTTAATTAAGTATCTATAAACCAATAATTAAGATAGAAATAAATACGCTACCTAATTTGATGAAATATCACTCCACGTTATAACGTAATTGTTTTTATTTTTATTTTTTCTCAAAACTCTTATAACTCGATCTGTATTCTCTTTGTGTATAAAATGAAAAAAACTTTCAAGTAAATTACATTTTGAATTTTGTTTAGTATATAATTATTTATAAATAAAGTTATATAATTATAATAAATTGTAAGTCAAGTTCTATGAAGGTTATTATTTAATTTTGTTGTAAATTACATTTGGAATTTTGTTTAGTTTTAAAGATATGGAAATATAAATTAAATGAATGTATGGGGGAATTAGGATTACTTTCTTGTGTCTTGTCCAAATATTATGGACCAAACTCTAGTTATAGAGACAATCCACAAGTGAAAGCAACTCAACCCATTTATTGAATTGGAGCTCAAGTCTATTTTCTACTTGAATGTTAATTGGAACTCAAATTGTGATATTTATTCATCTCTAACTCTTTCGGCCTAATCCATAATTGATATACAACTAAATCATATCATATCCATTAGTCTCCAACTTTCAATCATTTCTCTTTTAAGTCTTCTTCTTTCCTTCATTTTTTCTTCCACCACTAGCCAGCCAGCTAGTGACTCCATTATAATTAGATATGTGATATCTAAAATGAGTACTTGATTTGAATTGTTATCATCCCTCATAAGCCCTATATATGTTTTATATCTCTAAAAAAATATTATTAGTTTCATTTATGCATGGATTTCTCAAATTTAATTTCTCTACATTCGATACTTTTTATGAAGATATGTTTTCTACTCTTTATCAAATTGCAGGTTCATATCGACTTGTTCCATGTTTTTTTTTTTTTTTTTGTAACAAAGCTTGATACTAAATGGAATTTGAGTATGGCGTGTTTATTTTGATAACACATGTATGTTTCTTTTATTGTAGCTTGGTAGCCTCTTCCATGATCTTAATGAATCATTTTTCTCTTGTTTAATATAGGATGGGGTAAAATATACAGTCATTTTTGTTTTGTCAAGAATAACTTAGCGTAATTCATATACGGTTTAATGAAAATGTAACATAACAACCTTTAAAGCCATATTTGGAAATCAATTTGCAATACACAAAACAAAAATCAACAAGCAAATGATTTTGATTTAATAGACCTAAAGAATAACATCTTTAAATTTTGTTTATTATATAATTTTTAATCAAATCAATTTATTAACTCAGATGGAAAATAATTAGCACCGTTATAAGAAATTTGGTAATGTTAAATAAAAATGTAAACTACAATTTTAGTCCCTATAGTTTCATGACTCCGTGAAAATGGTTTTTAGACTTCAATAACTACAATTATCGTCCCTACTGTTTATATTTTGCTTTGAAAATGGTCTTTATTCACTAACTCCGTTAAACATCTCCATTAAATATGGGGCATTTATATCTTTTTATCTTTTTCTTTGTCTTATATCCGACCAAAATTATAGTTTACTTTTTATATATTTATATTTACATTTACATTTATATTATATAATATATAATATATAATATATATTTATACATATTTATATTTACATTCACATTTTATTTTTAAAAAGTGGTTATAACCATCTTTTTGACCATATCTATAAGATCATCTAAATTTAAGGTTTGGATGGATTCTTTAGTTTTTTACAAGATTTTAATCTGATCTCATCATAAATTTAGGGGAAAAATCAAGAGAGAATATTGAAAAAAATAATAATCGGAGAACTGTCACGCCCCGATTTTTTTTCCATTCGAGTGCCGTGACGTCATTCTTAATAACTTATATCATGAACAAAAATACGAACTTAAAATTCCAAACACACATAATATGTTTAACATAATTCGTTACATAATTGCGGAAGCGTAAAATACTTTCACATAATCAATGCTAATTAAAATATATAATCAAGCATGATTCAAAAACATAGTCCCGTATTTCTTCATTCACTCGTCTACTGACAAATGACACCTGAGATATATACATGTATAGTATAAGCAAAAARCTTAGTGAATACAATATGGTTTCATGATCACATGCACACACAAAACAACGTTTTAGCGTATTTTAATTATTATCTTGCAAGTGAGGTCTCGGCTCGTCACTTTTCTTTGCGTATGTGGCGTATTCTATGGACGAGGACTCCAAGACCTCGGAATTGCAAGCCCTCCTTTCATGTCCAACCCACCACGTACGGTGGACGAATCTTGCCGAATCATACTAGTTGCATATCATTTATTTGCAATACTCACTCATTAATGCAAATCTCATCGTGACATGCAACATACATCTCATGCAAGTGACAACATAAATCACATATGCATCATCGTTGTTCTTTTCACATTATACACATACTTGAATATCATATTGATAATAACAAGTCATCATAATTTTTCTCGTCACATCACCTTTCATATCATGCATATATTGAAATATCATGCACATCAATGTAATCAAGTTATCATCATATGCATATAAACATATCATGCATATATCATGGATAAAATACTTTTATAATAATCATGTATATATCCCATAAAAATCGCATAATGTACTCACCTTGAATCGTTAACGTTCGATAGGTCTTTCTCTCAAAAACGGCAACCTACATGATAATTTATACCATTCCTAAGCATCTTAAATAATCGTAGTTAAATTGATTACCATTATTTAACAATCTTAACACGACTTTTCCTTTTATTGGTCAACCCCCGATAACATCATATCTCATGTTTCACTCCAATATTTTCTTGAAATATTATTAATAATGTGACGTCGTTAAAACATTAATTGTTGCTCGTACATTTTATAAAACTTCACATTTTCTTGAATAATAAATATTATACCAAAATAATTAAAATAATAGTTTGCAAGGTAAATAATGTTTTGTGACGAAAACGTCTCGTTTAAGATTTGCAAGTAAATAAAGGTGACAACATGTCACACACATATAAATAACGGTCGTTCCATAACTTTAAAGTTCAACATAATTAATACTCGAAATAATGTTTAGAATACCAATTTTCCAAGTCTAGGGGCATTTTGGTAAATCATAAGAAGTCGAATACCAAAGGTATAGTTTTAACCAATTCCCTAATTTAGAACATTTTTGGTATATTTCAGAAGTCGAATATTAAAATGGTGTTTAAAAGTCCAATCCCAAGCATACGGGCATCCTGGTAATTAATTCTATTAAGCAATACTCAAAGTATTGTTAAAATACTGATTCCCTAATTSTGAGGTCATTTTGGTAATTTCATAAGGATAACAATCAAAATAAAGCATAGATACCAATTCCCAAGATATAGGGTCATTCCGGTAATTTTATAAAGCAAATACGTAAAGTATCGCTAAAATACAAATTTCCACATTGTAGGGTCATTTTGGTAATTTCATAGAGATTAGATTTAAAATAACACTTAGATACCAATTCTCAAGACCTTGGGTTATTTCGGTAATTTTATAAAACAAATACGTAAAGTATTGCTAAAATATCAATTTCCAAATATACGATCGTTTTGGTATTTTTATAAAAATAATAAAAAATGAAGTTCATAGACCAATCCCCAAGAGATAGGGTCATTTCAGTAATTTATAAAGCAAATACGTAAAGTATCGCTAAAATACCGATTTCCCACTTATAGGGTGATTTTGGTAATTTCATAGAGATTAAATTTAAAATAACACTTAGATACCAATTCTCAAGACCTTGGGTCATTTCGGTAGTTTTATAAAGCAAATACGTAAAGTATTGCTAAAATATCGATTTCCAAATATATGATCGTTTTGGTATTTTTATAAAAATAATAAAAATGAAGTTCATAGACCAATCCCCAAGACACATGGTCATTTCAGTAATTTATGAAACAAATACGTAAAGTATCGCTAAAATACCGATTTCTCACTTATAGGGTCATTTTGATAACTAAATGAGATAAATAATTGAGATGGGGTCAAACTTTGTATTTTACAAAATACAAGCAAACTTAACGAAAGTTTTGTAAAATTTATGTAGAGAAAATTATATTGCTGAAACTGTCAAATGTATACTGCATATAAACAAAATGAACGCATACAAAGTAACAGATTACGTGCGTAGCCCACTAGTTAACGCTTGAGCCTTCAAGGCTGAGGTCGCGGGTTCAAATCTTGCCCTCAGCTCGCGCGCCTTTAACCCCCTTTTTTTTTAAACAGGTGACCCAGTTGGAAAAACARCAACTAGAGAGCAGCTATGGCTGCACCATTTTTACATTTTTAAGCTTGAAAATGGCTTATTTCTTGACCATTTTTCTTCATTCTTTTTGCGCCAAACTCTTGRTAATATTTTTACCAACACTTTGACATAAAGAACAAGAACTTTCATCAAGAAATGAGTTTCATTTACTCATTTAAAGTTTGTTTTTAAAACTAAAACTTAACAACTTAAAAACATAAAAACCGAACAACGAAAACA